TCCTGGTAATTATTGCACAGTCCCTTAGTTAGATTGGTGTACATATCTATAATTCACAGACAGTATATTACTGTACAAGCACCTTTGGAAGTGTACTGGTGTCAATGGTTTCATAAAAGAGATCCACATGTTGACCTGATGAAGTAAAAGACTTCCGTTAAGTTTAATCTATACATAAGAGTTGACAAGCATTCATTGAAACAACAACATAATACCTGCTTCCTCACGATTTACGTCCAACTTGAGTTGCGCTAYGAAATTTTCCTGGAATTTTGTCCTTTTACCTAAAGCACCTGATTGAAAAAGTTGCTTTAATTTTTTTTACTTTAATGCACTAATGTCTTTAGAAAATAATTGTAATTCATTTGAAAAAGCAGAAAAAAATTGTGTTTATGTATAATTATAGTGATGATAAAAGTTCCATGTCAAAACAAGAATGTATAAATTAAGTGATCTCGAATATGTCATGTTCGTTGCTTCTGAATGTGACTTCAAACMTGTTGTTGTTACGTGATCGAGCTAACCATCCAGAATCCCAAGGAAACAACTATTACTCGTATTTTGAATAAAGGCAGAAATATAAGGAAGGTAATTCACAATTTTATTGCAAACAACGTTCCTATATCAATAAGTCTTAAATGTAAATTTGTACTGAAAACAATCAATCTAAATATGACTCAAATTATTTGTATTAAAAATAGAATTGGATTATGAGGAAAGGTAGAAAACATAAAAATCCACAATTAATTTAATCCCATATTTCAAAAACTCATACATAATTAATGAGTCATTAGGCCAATAGAATTAGTCTATTTGGTAACATGCATGGACCTTTATATCTGATAAAACACTCCTTATTAGTATTCTTTATATAAAGAATAATAATAAGGGTGACCCTAGCAAAGGTCTCAGGTTTTAATTGAAACCCAATTATTGACCAATGCAGGATGTCGATTGCAGAAACAGCCAAGAGCGGTTCTATTTTACTTTAATGCGTAGTCAATGTGGGATGACAAGAGTGCTTTGTAAAGTGATTTGCGCATGGTCAGTTTGCCCYATTTATCTCAAAATTTATTTTTACGGGCAATTTCTCCAGGAACGGTAACGGATTTGAGTTTCAAATTAGTGTTGGAGTTTTTGAAGCCAAAGGGAAGGGGGGTGGGGGTTCTCCCCCGAAACTTGGGTGGGGGTGTGCTGCTGGGACCTCAAAACCCTGACCCTGTTCCAGAGTGAAATCGCTGAAAACTATACGGCCCTGTTCCAGAGTAAAATCGCTGAAAACGGTACTCTGTTCCAGAGTAAAATCCTGCACTAGCTTGCGTGTAGACCGAATTTTTACCCCATGAATTTTTATCCAGCATCAATAATTCCGGAATGCAACCCTGATCCTGTTCCAGAGAAAATTCGTTGAAATCAATACCCTGTTCCAGAGTAAAATCGCTAAAAACGATACCCAGTTCCAGAGTAAAATCGCTGAAAACAATACCCTGGTTGGCGGCACGTCACTGTATAGCGAATTTAGGGGAGTACCCCCCCCCCCCGGGTATCAGATATAAAGATTCTCGCCTTCAGCTTTAACCTTTATACCTGATAAAACACTCTCTCTCGTGTTTTAAACTATTTATTACTTAAAAAGTGTCAAAATCAGTCATTTATGTATTAAGTTTTAATATATAGAGATGTAGAAAAAAATATGAGGGCCCTGTCAGTGATAATCGCAGCATTAAACAGTTAGTACCCGCTATTCTTAAAAACTCATACATAATTAATGWGTTATTAGGCCAATAGAATGAGCCTATTGGTCACATGCATGGACCTTTATATAATAAAATATTTCCATTGTTCCAATTGGTCTCATGGATGAATATAGGACATACCACAAGAAACATAAAAATGTGATGCTAAAATGTGTGTTCTATGGACAAAAAAATTGACATGAAATTGAGAAATTTGCATATTATTCACCACATTTCTCAACCAATCAGATATCAAGAAAATTTAAGGTATTGTGGTAAAATTGGAAGCGACTTATGAAAATATTTACATTTGGTTCGACATGCAAAATGGTGTACAATGTCAGGTGTGTTTTATTGGACACAAACAATTCCTTTTTAAAATTAGGGTTAGTCAAACTGTGGAAATTAGTTTTGTTTAACAACTAAAAAAATAACTATTTAKGTGACGTCAAACAAATTAGTAATAGCGCGCCAAAGCAACCGCCAAGAAAATTATTTTAATTTGTTAATGTGACATCACCTAATTTGTAATGTACTAGTTAACTATTAATTATTACACAGTTTGACTAAAAGCACTCTACATAAGGACATTATAGAATGGTCCATTGCCAGAAACTGAATATATCACTGACAGACAAGTAACAATTGGAATTGACTTTTATGTGGACAACCTTTTCAGATTGGCTGCATACCTGATAGATTGAACTTCATTCCCAGACAGGCCTGTGCACTGGTAAAATGGTCCTGATCAAGCAAATAAAAAATTCATAATCATGGAAAACTGAGTTAAGTGACATAATCAATATATAAAAAGTACGTATTTTATACTTAAGTCATGTAAAATACCTTTGCTTTAGTCATTTCATGGTAGTAGATGTAAAGATGACCTATTTCTAAATGTAGCTGACAGGCTATCGATCTGAAAAGGAATAATCAAGATCCACTATTTTAAAACATATCTAGATAAAGGGTAAGGGAAGGAGACCTATAATTTTAAGCACATTATTATTGTATTCATGACAGAATATAGGTTTATAAATTTTTAAATAATTATATGACATATGAACAAATGCAAAAGAGAACAGAAATTAGAGAATACCTGTTTTTATCCACAGAGAGAAATGATTCTCTTTCAATTACTATAAAACATAACAAATTAGAATCAAAAACACAATTTTTCATTCTTGTTGTGAAACAARTAAGGTTATTATCATGGCTTAATTAATCAAACAGAGTTGTGGAGGATGGATTGTACTGTCAGAGAAGTTTTCAACCTTTTTGTTTAAATGTAAAGATGAGATTTACTAAACAAGGAATAGGAAAATCACTCAAAAATAATGTTGTACAGAATTGGACAAAAACAAATGGCATAAAAATTACTTCTTAAAGCTACAAACCTTCAATAAGTTCAAATGTTTTATTCATGATRATATTAGAATGTTCATCCATCACTCTCTGCTTTGAGGTGTGACAGCGAAGACTCCAGATGTATGATGACTGACAATCAGAAAAATGGCATTTTTTTAATCAAATTGCAGTCCAGGAAGTTACAAAGAGAGCATATATTCCACTTCAAAAATCTGTAGATTGTGCATATAAGCAACATGTAATGAAGCTGTCATTGTCGCTAATCACCCTTTTAGCAACACCACACTGTACATGTACATGCATCAAATATACAAGTCATGTAGATAACAGATATGGTTACCGACCAAGGCATTACCTTAACTTCTGATAACATGTCCAGTTCCTCAACCAATATAATATTGGAGAGTAAAAGTTCAACAGTACTCTCTAATTTTGGGTATAAATTCTGAAGGATTAACACAATCAAATTATGCCCTATTAGTATATTTTGCATATAAGAGTATCTTGATGGGGTTAAATAAAAGGTTTATGCAAGTTACTTTTGTTAATAGATCAATAAGCGTTTGTAAGGACTGGTTAATTGCAAGGTCGCTACGGTATACACCCCATACATGCAAACGCTAACTGTTTGCTGAATGCAAACTTGTTAAGTTTAATGCATGAACAATTAGAAGCCATATAGTTTGCATTACCATAGGATGCATATTTTATACAATTACATATATAWTTTGTGACGTCACATGAAACCCAAGAATACCACCTTTTACGATACAGTAGCCAGGGACTGCGGAGACGGAGGTTAATAATAAATAAATTTAATAATAAATTAAATCGATAAAATTAAAATACAAAAAATACAAAAAATTGACGATCAGAGCGCGACTATACTGCGATGACATCAAGTTGGAAACGTTAAAGAGCCAACTTYGCATGACTCCCCCCCTCCACACACATTTTTGACCATTCCGCGGTCACTGAGTACCACCTGAAATTACTACTTGAACACATGCACTGACAGTGTGCTGGATGCATTTTGCATTTGTACATGTACCTCTCCATTCCGTATTCTTTTAAGACATGTTTTCTGAAGTGAACCATCCTAAAATAGACATTTTAGACATTTTAAATTCACGGATAAAAAAAATTACAAGCCCTTAGTTTATAGATTGAAATGGTTACTTGGTTATGTGTACATTGTTGTTGGAGGGGAAATTGGGGTTTGTGGGAATACTGGATTGGTTTTTATTTTATGCTTACTAGCTGGAAAATCTATCCCCTACAATATGTGATACTTACCCTTTTTTATATGCTTTATAATTGCAGAAAAACCTTTATGGATTATTGCATAGTGTGATAATTTAAACATGTGGAATGTGCAAATCACTGATTGAATTCTTTTTGCAGAACTGAAGAATAGCCTCCTAGAATTCCCATCTAGTGAAAAGTTTGTTTATGGGCTTATCATAATTTCATAGTATCKAAATTAATCCAGATTTTAAAAAACTCTTGCCCATTTTTCATGCAGCAGTGAATACCTTGTATTGAGTACAATATGGTTCCGGGAGATACTCTATAAACATATTGTCATTCACTGGTCCTGTCCAGTTTTGTTGCACAAAAATCCTTAAACTTGCTACACCAACACATAACACTAATAATTGCCTAAAGAGAGAAAATATACAAGTTAGAATGACTGAAATAAATTTACAAAATATATTGGTAATATATTGCTTTGTCATTCAGACATCTTACCATGCATATTTAAAAGATACAATTTATTTTACATTATATAACAGCACTACATTGTAAGTTCTTTGCGCTAAAGGTTCTTTCTTCTTTCACAAACGTTTCTTTATTCTTTAGATGAAACCCTGAATCATACTCTCCACCTCCCAATCAGTTACTCAGACGTCCCTCCTATTTCACTGTACATGTACCTTAATGATGAGTTATCCCTTTGTACGTAATYTTTAATTCTGTTTTTGAAATAAACATCAAGCTCTACAAGAAAGCAAGCATAACATCATTGAAATACAACAAATTAAAATTATATAATAAAAAAAATTAGGTAACACCTAATAGCGGAGCTCCAATAGCAATATAGAAGACAATGATTATCTAGTACTGCTGTTTCAAGGAATGTAAACACAACATCTTTTATTGACATGTGAAAAAATATTATAAACAAACATACTTTAGTATATTTAGTTTAGCTCAAAAAAGTCAATACAAAAGAAAGAGTATGTTTACGAGAATTTCGTACGCTGAATATATTGACCTTTGATAGATTTTGTTCAATTGGACAAAGTTTTTATAATAATATATAAAAATGTCAATTGACTGAAGTAAACTGAAAACTTCTCAACAAAAATAGTCTACATCAACAATCAATCAGATTAAATGCAGCAAAAGGTTGATGTTTGAACCCGTTTGAACTCAAACTTCACATCACAGAATACTACAAAAATATCTTAATACATGTACATATTTTTTTACCTTGATTCTTGAAAYTCCAATATTAGAAATGTTGCTAAAATACTGGGAAAATTTAGCTTTATATGCTTAGTGTCTTTTTATCGTCGTTAAGCTAAAACTGAAACCAACGGTGAGGAATGCAATAACAAACTTGCCTTAACGTTCAAAGATCATATTCAACAGAACCATACTTGTTTCAAGCATGGGTTTCATCAATTTATAAAGTCATTTAAGACTGTAATTTTGTCAATTCTTTGTTTTAAGTCTCTCTCAATCCAGTGGTGCTGGCCTAATCGCATATCGATTTCCCGTATGTGCAGATGTGTCGTAGTTATGACAAAATTGGTGGGAATATTTCTGTGCTTTGATTTCGCTCTCCTGTGGATATTTTGCTTGTGATTAATTTTTGTGATATTATCAATTTGRAAGGTAAATGTTTAAGGAAAAAATTTTGATGTTTCAACATAAATTTTGGCATTTTTTTTCCTTTTCRCATGAAAAATGGGTTTCCTGCGGTGGTACATGGACGGAAGGAAACATGCGTATGCACAGGAACCCTGTGTAGGGCCATGAAAAAGCGACTCRACTGATATAACTTTTTTCTTAGCTATGGTGCTCCACTCAGAATGCCCGCTCTGGAGCTCCACTATAACATGGTAGAAACAATCAATCAAGCATCATTTGTAAAATATTCGCTCAACAGGAGTAAACAAAGTTTATGCAGTAGTCAATTGAAACCCCTGCCCCCAGATGCCCGAGCTAGTGGGGCACTGAATGGRGACGTGATGCATTTTTAAAGTGCTTTTAACAGCAAGGTTGCCCCGGGGATCGGTATTTTGATGAATYGTTTTTGAAGTGGGGCAAAAAGCGGGGACATTCGAAGATGTATGATCGCTGGAAACTAGAGGTCAACCATCTTGAGAAATACCCTGACAGCATTGGTATTTAACCCTGTTTTTTATACAAAAAWTTTTTTAAGAAACTTATTACACAGTTAGCCCCATGTAGTACGCAAATGAGTACACAGGATTGTGCAAAAACTAACCCTTGTTATCACAAAAAATTTGATTGAAAGGTGTTTGTTTTGTTATTTACTACTATATACCAAAATAGTGGGGCAACAGTGACGGGATTTTAACAAATGTGTCCACAACTACCARGGGAAATGTTTCATTTTAACACCACTCAAACGTTAAATTCCCCAGTATTCAGGGGTTTCAATTGACTAGTACATTACCTTAAGCAATCTTGTAYCCCGAGCCTTCGTTTTTCTTGGCCAGCGCTGTCAACAAACATAAGACTCTGGGATAACGGAATTTTTACTACGGATTTCTGTCTTCCAGTTTCCACTGCACATGACCTGCTATCCAAATGGGTTTTTGGTCAAATTTTTCAAGAAAACTTTCCAAAGAAAGCCAAAACAGGAGCGTACAAGATCTCAATGGATTTACCTTAGACAAAGTAAATTTGGGTTGATCATGATCTGGTCAAAGACAATTTGGATTTTTTCCGACCGCGACGGTTGGTCAGTTGGCGACAGTTTGTTGCGGGTGAATGTAAACTACATTTTGGTTTATTCACTTATTGAGCTTATCCATCAGAATTCCTAACTTTACTGTCTTATTAAATCATTTTAAAGCAAGAATATAAAGGTAATACATGTATATCGAGATAAAACATGAATTCGAATGTTGTCCTTGGTGTAATTTCACTTCCAGCGCCATTTGTTTCTATTTCAAGAAGCAATCAAAATTCGCAGAAAATTCCGCTTCCCCAGAGTCTTACACGTTTTTCGGCGCTGGCCAGGAAAACGAAGGCTGGGGTACAATTGTACCTTCAGTAGATGCAGTATCTGATTTCAAAAAATACTTGACTGCTTGCGTTTGAAGAGCTGTTGAATAATCACCACGACAAATATAGCACACCAAAKCCTTGAGCTGGTCAATAAATGTTTGCATCTCTACAAGGAATAATTTGAGATTCAATGTTTTTATAATATCGACTACATGCAGTACTGACCACACGTGTAGAGTGAAACCATAACATTCAAAAACCTACCTTGATTATCATCTCGTAGCTTTAGTTTTTGAAATAATCCATTGATCTGTGCGATATTTTGTTCTAGTATGGCATATTCGATGTCCAAAATTAGACTTTCCATCTCCATTTCGAAGATTCGACTGCATTTGTAAAATGAACTAAATTGACGAGGCGTTCCTGTAATGCCATAGGCTACCCAACTATTGCTTCAGAGAAAGAAAAGAATGAATGGCGCATGCGCACGCTGCGGGTTTCCTGTGGTATTACGTCATTGATCCCACGTGTTGATCCCTTGGCTCGCGCGGGTCCTCGCACAGGGAGCCCAAGCAGTGACTTTGAACCTATAATGGTTAAAAATAAAATTTTACTTAAAAAAATGGTCTACTTTTATTTTATTCAGTGTCACAATGCATTATAAATGGGTTTTAAAAAATATCCCCTACCTATATATATATATAGTGGCACTTGTCACTATATATTTATAGGTAGGGGATATTTTTTTAAACCCATTTATACATTTTCGACATCACAGCAGCCTTGGCTACATTTGTATACATTTTGTCCATTTATAATGCATTGTGACACTGAATAAAATAAAAGTAGACCATTTATTTAAGTAAAATTTTATTTTTAACTATTATATGTTCAGTCACTGCTTGGGCTCCCTGTGGTCCTCGCGGGTATGTTATCGAATCGGCGCGCGCTGCGGGTTACTTTACGTCACGATCCCGCGCCTCGCGGGATACAAACTAGTCTGTGACAGACTTGTTGGAATCCCGCGAGGCACGGGATCGTGACGTAATATCACAGGTAATCCGCATTTCACTAAGAGCGGGCGCCGATACTAGTATAAAAGAGTGCGCGTTCATAGGCTACCCAACCATTGCTTCAGAGAAAGAAAAGAATGAATGCGCTTTTATACTATCGGCGCGCGCTCTTAGTGAAATGCGGATTACCTGTGGTATTACGTCACGATCCCGTGCCTCGCGGGATTCAAACAAGTCTGTGACAAGGTATGAAACACTGGTCACGTGATGGACCGATGTGCGCCCCAGGTAGCTTGTCTATCCCTCCCTATCGTTTTTTTTTCGTATGGACTTCGAGAGCTTTCGTAAACAGTCGTATCGCTCGACATTTCTCCGATGGTCGACCGATAATGTCGCTCCCTTTCGTCGC